ACCTAGGTCCTACTTAATTGAAAGTAACTCCAAAATATTTAAATATATTCTTATCTCGCAGTAACAGTCCTAGAAACCTAAGTGTACAATTTCATAAATTATAGTGACTTGCATTTGAGTTTCAAGCACAGCACACAATTCTTTCCCTTGCCAAGAAAAAATCTGGCATATTCTAAAGTAGTTTTGCCTTTGTCTATATTGTTTAGCTCTTGCTTCAATTATATTACTGTAAAATTTGACGAACATTGATTTTTTAAGATTTTTGAAAGACTACATCTAGTATGTCTTAAGTCAAATCTAACTTAAAAACATGATTAAAGAATCATTAGATCAAAATGGCATGTTCTCCACAGGAAAACCCAATTCTTTAGATTATCAGTAAATGTTGATTTAGAGGCATAATTGCTGTCTTAGGAACCATCTTTTAAATATGGCCCAAAAAAGTTTCTGGTTTTCAAAAAAGTACAGTCCAGATATGCAGATTCTTTAAGATAATCAAGATGTGTTCTTGTTTTCAAGTAGGCAATACACTGTAAATTAGTATTTAAATTGGCGGTCTTAAAAGTATTTTTAATATCAACACTCCTTAGCCAAATGTGAAGTTTTAATTTGCCTTTTTTTTGACATTATATGAATGAAGGAAGAGAGCTCAGAGAATATAGAGTGACTTGTTGAGAACTTGTTCTGCTTCTAATTAGGGCATTTTATAAAGATATCTTGTTGCTGTTCTTAAATTAATTCTGCGTGAGAAGCCAAGTAATTTGGGGTCTTGAATAATAATGACCCAAATTGTCTTTACCAATGTATACATGAACTATATTGACATATCAGATTCATCTTATTTCTGTATCTCCAAGGACAACCATAGTGCTTGTCATTAGTGCTTAATGACATCGTTAATATAATCCTGCCCCAGCCAGCACTGATTCCATCTTTCAGTTTCACACAGTTCAGCTGTGGAAACTGTTACTTTGCACCGCGTGAAAAAAACGAGCGAGTTTCTTTTGACCCAAGTAATGAAACCAATTTGTTTTGCTCTCCCTGTTCCAGGACACAACGAATTTGCTGCCATTCAGCGTCCCCAAGTTTACACCTGTTTTCCTCTCAGATTTCCCCCTCACGTTTATAATCCTGTAGTTCCAAGGATTTTTTCCCCTCAAAAAGAATTTTTTTTAAGAGAAAACCCTGCCTGTGTCTATCCTCAGTGGCTGGTGTAATTTCAGAAAACCTCAACGCGGTCACTGAGCCTTTCCTGAACTTCGGTGAATTAACAAAACGCCTTTGAAATCGTTTTGAGAAACACTTCTTGAAAAAAATCACAAACGTGGCCCATCCTTGGCCCCCAAAGCACATCCCTACCCTACAACCCCGTAATGGCTGACTTTGTGCCACTACCCTGCGAGCAGAAAGCACGAGCTACGAAAACAACACGTCAAGTTTTGGTTAACCATTCAGACAGAGAAAACTGTTGGCGGCTTAACATTGCTGCGTTTTCTGAGGTAACTAACTCAGTCTGCCGAGTTACTTCAACTCTAGTCCCTTCCACTTGGTCTCGGACAACCAAACACTACAAACGCCTTCGCCTCCCGACCACGACAAGTCAAGGAGGACGCCTCTCGGAGAAGCCAGCGGGGCAACAGGTGGTCGGCCCGCAAGGGGCCTCGGCGTGGCCCCTGCCGCCGCCCCGACCCCCGCCGCCCCGACTCCTCGGCGCGAGCAGAGCCCTTGCCGGCCCCGACAGCAGCTCGGCCGCCCCCAGCCCCGCGGCCCGGCGGCCTGAGGCGACTCGGCAGCCTGGCCACCTACCCCGCCCTGCCTTCCCGGGCTCGGTTTCCACTCAGCATCGCGGGACCGCTCCACAGGCCTTGGGAAAAGCACGTGCTCGTGTTCTCGAAGCCACGTCCCTCTAGGCGGGAACTCTGCCCGGCTCCCTAGTCCTCTCCCCACCCCCCTTCTCCGCCCTCTGTTTCTCTCCCCCCTCTGAGGACCGAAGCTTCCAGACTGCCCTCCAGGAGGCCCCGGCTGGGCGTCGTCCCGACACTTCCATTACATTCCTGGCCCGTCCCAGGCCCACTGTGGCCAAATACCAACTGCCACGAAACCCAAGCTGAGAGGTCTGGGTACCTGGCTCTGGAGGCCACACGGTCGTCCGAGAGAGAGGGCAAAGCCGAATCGCCCGGCGTGTTTCCACCTCGCAGCCCAAAAGGCCCGTTGGCCGCCTGGAACCGGCCCCTGAGAACCGGGTCGAGGAAGAGGCCAGCCCGGCAGCACCTGGGCCTCGGGCGTGAGCCGGGGCGGGCCGGCGTGAGCTGCCTGCGTGCGGCCGAGGGCCGCGGCCCGGGGAGCCCGGGGGCCACTGCGCAGGCCCGCGGGCCGGCTCTTCACGGGAGGCCCTAACGAGGAGCGGCTGCGAGCCGGGCCGGCCTGCAAGGCCCACGAGGCGCCGTCCAGGAGCAGCTGTGCGGGGGCCCGGCTCAGTGAGACCCAGGCTGCGCCCTCGCGCGGGCCCTGGCGGCGTCGGGGCTCTGGGGCTTTGTTGGCGTGGGGAAGGCTACGTCCGGGCCCGGCCTGCTGGATCCGGAGCTCCGAGCCGCGGCCGACCGGGGAGGCTTTTCTGCTGCCAGGACACGTAGACCCGCGACCGAGACTCCGCGCGGGGCCCCGTGGGGAGGAGCCGCGGTTCTCCGAACCCGGCCTTAGGTTCTTTTACGGAATAAAAAGAACGATGGGTGCTGGTCACTTGGCAGCAAACTTTTCGTTTGTTTCTTGATTTCCTTCCCGCCCGAGGACAAGTTGAGCAGTTTATCGATCTTGCCCCCAACAGTTTCAGACCGAAGTCTGCAAGGTGGCGGGGTTGGCTGGTCTGGGGAAGCCGCCAGCCCCCCTACCCGTGTCGTCCTGTCCCCCTCCTCAGGGAGGTGCACCTGTGCTTTCCGACCTGCCAGCCGCAGGCCAAAGTTTACATTGCACTGCTCAGGTTAACTCGCGTCCTGGTCCGTTTTCCCAAGTTTAAAACACAGCTTTAAAGATAGTTTGGCTACTTTTGGCGGGGGAGAGGAGAAGACGAAAGTTGAGGGACACAGTTTAAGCGCGGGGTTAGAATGATTGGAGTCCCCAGCTTCTGGGAAGCCACCAGGAAGAGCCGGGCAGAAAGGAAGGCAGTTTGCTGCCAACACGCAGGACACGGATCGGTTTTTTGGTGCTTCCCCCAACCCCCCTTTTCCTTTCTGGCTCAGCTCTAAGCGCGTTACCGAGCTACCCCTTCCCGCCTCCCGACCCTCTTCCCCTCCCCCTCTTCTTTCTGGTGCAGGCAATTAGGGTGAAGAAATCCGTGCCAGGCTCCTGCCTCTGAAGAAAAAGGAATTGCTTCGGGAATTGAGTCCTGACACCTGTCTCTGTTGTGGATGCCGAGGGGGGCGGGCGGCGCCGGGTCACTTCGCGTGGGGGGTGGGGGGTGGAGAGGCCGGCCAGCGCGAGGGGAGGAGGCCACTCTCCAGATTTCTGGAGGCTTCTCCTTCCCCATCCTCCCTACCCATCCCCTGGCCTCCAGCTTCACGCAGGTCATCACCAAGGGTTCCCCTGAGACCCGCACGCAGCCCGAGCTGGAATCAGAAGAGTAACAGCCACAGAGCCGTTCATTAAGTTGCATTTATTTTCGGGAAATAATGTAGAAGAAGAAGAGGAGGGGAAACTGCCTTACATTTCAACAATTTTTGATCTTCACATCGGACAAATCAAATTTACAAATTACCTTCCCACCTACTGGATGAAGCGGCCCCAACCAAAAGTGATCACACCGGCGGGCGGGCGGGCGCGCTAGGCGCGGATTTCGGGATGAAGTGCACTAAAGACTCACTGGACGAACCGGGGTGTTGAGAGAAACAGAGAGAAGCCAACACAGGGACCGCGACTGGGGTGTGGGGCCTGCTTTTGTTTATTTTTCCATCACGCTTGTATATCTTTCCTTTCTTTGAGGGGAGTTTTCTGTTTCTAGTCTTTAAACCGGAACTGCCACCCTGTGCTTTAGATCGGGTGAGGGACTTAGCCTCCCAGCCTCGCCCCCGACCCTTAACACCCTGACCTGGATGCTTGCTCCACACTCCCTATCCTCCTTGCCAGCCTTCCTGGATCCAAGCGGTTCCCTTTAATAAACGCACCGAGGCGGAAGATGCGAAGAGGGAGCAGGACAGCCTTGTAACCAGCGGAGAAAGAGCGTCATCGTTTGAGGAAGAGGCAGGGGGAGAAAGAGAAGGAGGGGTATTTTTTTTTTGCTTTTGTTTATATATATGTATATATATATATATATGTGCTGTATATATCTTAAAGTTCTGTTTCCTGGGCGCTAAGACGAAATCTCAGTTCAACCAACAGCAACTAAAAAGTTAAGTGGTCCCTGGAACGGACCGACTATGTACAGCATTCCCGCCGCAGGGCGGGGCGGGACGCAGCTCAGGGCCGGAGGCGCTCCCCAGCAACCCAGCCTCCCTCCCCCTTTCCCCGCGAACACACCCCGCTGGAGAGGAGAAAGAGCCTGGGAGCTCTGTCTGCAGGAGGGGAGTAGGGTGGAGGACAGCTAAAGGGGCGGCAATCTGCGCCAGAGAAACGCTTGGTGGTGGTTTTGACAAACATGCCAGTAAGTGGCTCCAGTGTCCAGAAAGAATAAATAAAAAGTATCGGGTTCAAACAGCGAGTCAGAGCAAAGAACCCCCGAAGGCTGCGAGTGCATAACAGCTGCCCAGAAAAACTGGAAGGGGGGACGTAAGAATTCGTTGAGGGTTACGCGGAAGTGCACACAACTCTCCCAAATTAGATCCAATGGGCCAAGCCAGAGCACCGTCCCCCCCTCCCCCAACGCCCCATCTAAGGGGTAGGAGGGTTTGCACGCACACACCCCACCCCCAAAGCAAATGGCACAAAATAGGGGTGGTAGTGCGGGCAGTGGGCATCTTTGGGGAAAGGGAGGTGATAATTCTGTTATGGGAAGCTTAGGCATAGGCGGGCGGTGCAGCAGCAGCAATAGGATGGGACCACGGAGGGCACAGGTAGTTGCGTTTCGTTTCTTCCTTTTTCCCGGGCTCACAAGACCTGGAACCGCCACGAGGCTTGGTCCTTATAGTCCAGACAGTCGGGAGAGTTGAAGTTGAGTTTCCAAGCAGAAGAAGCAGCAGCGGCACCAGGCTCCTTGTAATCCAAGCAGTCGGCAGAGTTGAAGGCAAGCCCGGAGCCACCATAGCCCTGGTGGTGGTGGTGATGGTGGTGGTGGTGGTGGCCTGAGGACTGGCTCAAAGGGTGGTGAGCGTGCGGGTGGTGATGGTGATGACCCGCCATGGAGGAGGGCGCCATGGGACTGAGCTGGTGCGGGTGGTGATGCGAATGCATGGGTGCTAGGTAGGAGCTGCAGTCCACGCCGCCAAAATAGGAAGAGGAGGGCGCGGGGTAGCCCTGGCCGTAGCTGCCGCCCTGGCTGTAGGACATGGGGTAGGAGGCTGCTGCGGTGGCGGCGCCTGCAGCTACCGAGCGCTGCATACACGAGGCGTTGCTGGGCGCTGCCAGCGGCTCCGGCACTGACACGGACGCGGGCGCAGAGCCGGGTGAGATGGAGGCTGGGCTCCAAATGGACGAGGCGGCCGGTGTACTGAGCGACGACGCGACGGCTACCGCCGGGTTCCCGCCCAGGCCTGCAACCGCCGCAGCCGCGGGGTTGGCGGAGGCGCTGGAGGCTGAGCTCGAGGACGAGGCGGAGCTGGACACAGCCGGCGGTGTGAACTGCCCGCTGCTTTCCGAGCCCGAGCTCTCCCTCACAGGGGACGACTTCTTCTTGACGGGGCGGCTCTTGGTTCCGCTCCCGCTCTGCTGCTGCTGGCGGCATTTGGCGCGGCGGTTCTTAAACCAAACCTGCGGCGAGTAGTATTTGGGGAGAGTGGGTCAGGGAGGGCCGTGGAGTGCTTACTGCTCCCCCGCCCCTTGGACCCTCCACCCCGCCCAGGCTCGTGCATCCTCTCCTATCCAGGCCTCCGCCCCTCCCTGTCTCCCGGCCGGCCCAGCCAGGCCCCCTCCCCAGCTCCTCCACCCTCCCGGCCCTTCCGCTCCAGGCCCCTCCTCAGCTGGCTCCGGGGTAGGGATGCGCACCTCCCCACCCCTAGCGCGACTCTGCCCTAGGGCGAAACGTTTGCGTCTGTCCGGCCAGAAGTTCAGCCATCTCTAAGTTGCTGCTGTTGGCTGCTTCGCCACCAACTCTGTGTAGTGTGTGGAGGCTCCGTTTCCTTTTGAACACAACTCAGGAAACGCGGGAGAAGCACAGAGCAGCGGAGTGCGGAACAGTCTCCGAATCTGGGGCAGAAGCAGTTTCAGTGAGTCCGCTCGCTCCTGGAGGCCTGAGCTGGGCAGGGCGACACGTTTGAGTGGGAGCAGCAGCAAGGCCCCAGGCGGAACACGGGCACGACTGAGTGGCTAGGGACTCTCGGGAAGGTCGCCTGGGGGAGATTTCGTTGGGTCTTGTTATTATCATTATCATTATTATTATGGCTCCAGGTGGGCAACCAAATGGGGTGGGCAATCTTAAAAAGTTCTTTTCTGGGAGGGCCCAGGCACAAGGCCTTGCATGCCAGGTCCTTTCTAGAGCATTGGGGGTGGCGGCGGAGAGGGCGAGACAAAAGGCACCCGAGGAGGGTTTTTGAATTAGAATCCAAACTGTTTGCGGAGCCCTTTCATTTCAAAAACAAATAGCAAAACCGGTGGCGTTGGCCGGGGTTTGCGCTCGCTCGGGTTCTCTCCCCCGCCCGGGCGGCGTCTAATCGTGCCAGCGCCCTCAGTGAAGCACACTTCCAGGCTGAGCGCGCCCACTCTTCCATTTCGATGCGAGGCAAGAGCCGAGGCAAAAATCGAGCCTCCAGAGGAAAACTGCCGAGTTTGGGGACGGCTGGAGAAACAGAACAGCCGTGGGGCACTCGGGGAGCTTCAGGTTCCGAAGCCCTAGCTCGTCCTCACTCCATCCTAAAAACGACTTTCGTTACCGGCGGCGCAAGGGGCCAAGGACTGGATCCAGGGCTCTAAGCCACTTCCTTTAACTTTGCCCCCACATCCTGGCCGGGGCCCAGCGCTAGGGGGAGTCCGAGAGGGTCTGCTCTCTGGAAGTCGCACGCACCGGAGACCACCCTTCTCTCACCAGGAGCCCCGGGACTGCGCACCTGGACTCTGGACTCGGGCAGGTTGATCTTGAGCGCCACCTCCTCACGCATAAAGATGTCGGGGTAACGAGTCTTTGCGAAGAGTGCCTCAAGCACGTCCAGCTGTGAGCGCGTGAAAGTGGTGCGCTCCCTCCGCTGCTTGCGTGGGGTGGCTGTGGGGACACGGTGGGGGGGGCACGTGGGGTCAGCGGTGGTCAGGAGGGTACCTAGAACTCGGGCAACCCCTGTGGCAGGCCTAGAGCGAGGGCCTCACTAGGGAAAGCCGAGCTTCAACCAAAAGGATCCTCCCCACCGCACCCCACCCCACCTCCCGCCGTAGGGCAAGGCCAGCCTGAGGGGCCACAGGTGGGAGAAAGTTTGTGTGTGCCTGTGGGGACAGGGGAACTAACCCCCTCTTCACCTCTGAGAAGTTAAAGAGGAAGAGAAGTGAAAGAAGCTCCCTTCAGCCACATCTCTCCAAACGCCCCCACCCCCGCAACACACGTGAACATGCACGGACCGGGGTAGATTTTGGAGAGGACTTTCACAGAAATTACCTGGAAAACATTTTCCTTGGGAGCGAATGGGCGTTAAGGGAGGGGTGGTTAGAAAGAAACCCGGGACCTGACTCAAGGAGCCCACGAAAACAGTGCAAAAGTTGCTGCAAGGCACTGGTCTCTCCAGGACAGTTTAATTAGGGATGAAAAATCCTCTCCCACCACTTCTCCAAAGCGAAGTTTGCCCCTTTATGTCAGGGCCTAGTGAGTGTCCAGTTTCCTCATTCAACATTACAGGGAACTGAAGAGATTCATTAAACAAACAAACAAACAAAAACCCAGCCACCGCCCCATAGGAAATGAATCCATGGGCAAATGGGTTGGTGCAGGCAGTGGGACCATACCAGGGGAAGGGCTTCCGGTGTTTCATCAGGCAGCATGTTGCACGTTTTCACAGCCCTGGTCCCCTTACCATTAAACTCACATCTGCCCTTCAGGCCTGAGCAAACTAGACAACTTGCTCCCTGGGTCAATTAAACAGCAACCTGCACTTCAAAACTGCAATGCTGGTGGACCCCAAGATTTGCAAGGACTGGAGTGTGGGGGACCAATTGCTCACTCTTGGGAACAGCTGGGGGTATCCTCAACTTTTGCCAGGGCTGAAGGGAAGGGCAAGAGGGCCAAGCTCACCCGGGTAGCCCACGGAGGGATGCAGGAGATCCATGGCAGGCCCGGCCAGGCCCAGCCCGTTCATGCCGTATGGGGGTTGTTTGAGGTAAGACATCATGCTAACAGCCGGGTGGAGACGCCCCGACGGATCCAGGAGGCCTGAGGCCAGGAGTCGGGCAGAGCTCCCACCTTGTGGTCCTTGGGCACTGTTGCTTCTCGGGGCCGGCCTATGGAGACACAGAAAAACTGTCACTTGGAGCCACCTGGGCCTCTAGGTCAGGTGGAGGGGAGGCGGGAACAGGCCACAGAATTGGGCAGGGCAGTTGAGTCTGTTCAACAAGGCCTTAGATCAGGGACCACAGCTTCTCTGAGAAGTAAACTTTCTGGGTCGGGCCAAGGCCAGGCAAAGGGTGTGAATAAACCCAAGAAGTTAAAAGCCTGCCCAGGCTAGGAAGGTTAGAGAAGGAACCAAGGTGTGTGCCAAGATCCCAAATCTAGTAGAAATTTGGCATCCGCTGGGGGCCAGCTTCAATGTTCGCTTGACACCCTGCGGCAGGCCACAATAGCACCCATGTTTTGTTTCAAGTTTCTGAAAACTAGGAAATGGTAGAAGGGCCAAATGAGACAACCAGGTGGACATAGTGCATCTGGGCCTTCCTGGGCACCTGTGCGCCGGGAGGAGCCTTGGTTTTCCCGAGATCTCCGCGCGCGGCTGTCCCACGGAGGGCCGGCCATCATCACTCCGGAAATCCCACACCTCCACCCCTGCATTTGCCGGCAGCCACAGGTCGCCGAAGGGGCCACTGCACGGCGGTAGTTCCAGGACCCCGCCGGAGGCAAGAGTGCCGCAGGCACTGCCACCCGCCCTTCTTCCTGCCCACCCGGGGTTGCAGAACACGACGCCCCACACGGGGCTGAAACTCAGGGCCCCCAGAGGACCTGGGGACTTGGGAAGCCGGAGTTCTGCCGGTCGCGTGTGCTCCTTGCCATGCTAAGAGCTGAACCCACAGACCCCAAGACCGTGTGGAGAACAGCGAACTAGGCCTTGGCGGCCTAGGCGCACGCAGACCTGGCCTGGAAGGTCGCGGCCCGCTTCCGCAGTTGCCCTAGACCCAAGGCGCTCCTCCGAGACAGAATTCCAAAAAGGGGCCCTGGGGAGTGAGACTGGGAATCCAAGGACCCGTTGCTGAACTCGGCTGTGCGGGAACACTACAAAGCAGGCCCCGCACCCAAGCTGGGGGACTCAGAAGAGAACTTAAGGCCAAAATAAGCTCTTCCCCAACCCCACACACAGCCTGGCTCCTGCAGTCGCCCTCTGAGACCTGTGGTTTGGGTCCAGGGAACCCAGTTTGGCAGGGAAGGGGGCTAGAAAGGAAAAGTTTGCGAAGTTAAACGGGACATTGGAGGCACGACGGTTCAGCTAGGCTGCAGCCAGAGTTTTCAAAGACTTTCCCCAAAGTTAACACTGGAGCTCGGTTACTTCGGAGGAGGCGGGGGAGGAGGGGGCGCGGGGCCACAGCTGCGCCCTGGGGTCCCTCCGCGCAGAAAGGGGAGCCAGGCCGCTCCCCCAGCCCCGCCCACCTGCCGGGGACCTGGGACCCTGCAAGCCTTGGAGAAAGGGGTGGGGGCCGTAGTAAAAGTAACCAACGACTCCGGGGAACCCGAGCGGCCCCGTAGCTTTCTGCTTACCTGCCCTCACCCGCCGGGGCCGCTCACCATCTACCTCGCGCTCTCACAGGGACCCGCCGGGCAACCAACCTGCAAAACAGAGCGGCACAAGAATTACCCGGGCGGCTGGTCTAGGACCCCAGAGTGCCTTTCTTTAACTCAACTTCCTTCCTCCCATCTCTCTCTCTCTCTCTCTCTGTCTCTCTCTCTTTCTCTAGTGGCTTTGTGCGTGTCCCTCCAGGTTTCACTTTATTGCATAGACACTTTGTTTTGCAAAAGCCCCACGCGCTTCCAGGACAGTGCCTCGCTCGGGACCGCGCCGAGGGGCCCTAATTGGGAGGGGGGTATTCGAAGGGGCAGAGTTGGGAGTGGCTCGCCGTGGCCGCCGCACTCCCGGTGCAACGTGGAGGCGGTGGGGACTGAGGAAGTCCTGCGGAGTCACTTTGCAAACTAAATAAATCAAGCGATTTACCTTGTCGGAGTGGCTTGTCTTGCTCGGTTGTTTAGGTGATTGGAAATGTAGCCTGATGAAGATTGATCACCTTTCTACTGCCCTCCCCGAGTATGTGAACGCGAGGCGAGTGCGTAACGGGGCTAGGCCGCCAATCGGGGGCCCCGCGCGGGCTGAGTGACAGGGAGCCGGGCAATGGCAGCGCGAGCCGGGGGTTACCTCCGCGCGCCCCCGCCCTCCCCGCCCCCACATCCCGCCCGCCCCGCCCGCCCGCCCCGCCCCGGCCGCGCGCTAACTCCCGGGCTCGGCTGGCTACCGCGGCGCAGAGCGAGGCGAGGAAGGCGAGCGGAGCGCCCGAGTCCCAGCCGCGGAGGGGGCCTCGCGTCCCCAGGCCTGCCCTGAGGCCCCCGCCCTGCTCGCGGCCTCTCGGCGCTCCCAAGGGAGTGGCGGGGAGGGAGTGAGGTGGGGGTTGGGTGGGGAGAGAGGTGCTGGAAAACCGGTTCCTTGGCTCTCTTGCGCGCCACTGCGCTCCGCGGCCCGGGTGTGGGCGCGAGGACTTGGGGTGGCGGGCTGGTGGAGCGCGGGCTCCCAATCCCTCTCGCGCCCCCCTCTGCCTGCGGACCTCGTGGGCGGCGGGCGCCGGCGCGGGCTACTGGGCAGAGCACAGGGTGCTTCCGGACGTGGGTCGCTCCTGGGCGCCCCGGGATCCCCACCCCGCTCCACGCAGGGGCCAGTACTCGCGGGCGAGGCGCTACTGCGTGCCCGCTCTCGGGCCTCTGTTCCCTGTCGCATCCTGGGTATCTGCAAGTCTGAAACACTTGTTCTGAAACGCTGGAAAGCAAATGCCCCCCTCCATACCCTATCCCTTCCCTTCACAGACATACCTTACTTGGCAGTCTAAAGATTTTACTAGGAAACTCTCCTTTTCCATACACTATCACTTTCGCGATCCGCATCCACCAGGGACTGCGTGGTGGAAAAAGTAGCCGCGGACCTCTGTGCCCTCAAGGTTACTCCCACAGGCTGGGGAGGGAGCCGTCTTAAGATTTCCCCGGATTGTTCGTAGCGGCGCAGCCTAGATTCCGATAAACAAACTTATACCGACTTTTTCACTTTTTTTTTAAGCGTTTCCACTCCAACCCGATTCTTTCACATGGCACCTCCTCTTTGAACGTTAGGCACGAATTTAAGCCCTTTCGAGGAATTTCTTCCCCCTTCTTTCTTTCTAATAGCTCCCCCCCACCCCGCCTCAATGGGCGTAGTGAAAAGTTTGTACAGAGTTAGAGCGAGGGTAGACTCCCGGAACATGGGGCGCCTCGCCGGTGGGGGAGCGCCCGGGCCTCCGGGCCGGGTCCCCGGAGCTGACGGGGCGCTGGGCGAGGAGGAAGAAACCCGGGGAAGGAGGGAGCGCAAAGGGGCCGCGGCCGCCGCTCAGCAAAGTGCCTCCCCCTCCTCCCCAGCGACACTTTCCTTTGGAGTCCGAATAAAATACGGTAACAGAATATGATGGAGGGCACACTGTTTCCTTAACTGCTTCTCAAAGGACCCGGGAGATCTTCTTAGGACCTTTAATAAGGCTTTGGTAGGTTCTTTTGTTGATCTCTCAAAATCAACTCCTTCTAATTGAAGTTGGAGCTGAAAGCGAGCTAATGTTCAAAGAAAGTGGCCGCCAGACCAACGAAATTACATTTTTTTGGGGGGGGGGGACGACGAGGGAACATCTAATCAAAGGAGTCGGGAAGAAGGGGTGGGAGTGGGGGGAGTACGAAAGAGAAAAGGAGGTTTTACAAGATCCCTCTCTTGGTTCACAAAAGTCAGCGACACGGGAGCTTCTCTCCAGAACAAAGACACCGCGGCCCATTCACAAAAGGGAGAGAAAGAGAAAGCGGAATAAAAGAACGAGAGGAAAGAGAGCGAGCGAGCCAGCGATTGCCTGCAAGCGAGCTGTGAGAGGAACAGAAAGAGCGCACCACGCCGCGCCGGCCGGGCGGGGACACACCTTAGCGCGCAGGTCCCCCCTCCCCCCTGCTAGGAGTACCCTAAGAGGCCCGCGGCTCGCCCCCCTCCCCCCAGGTGCTGCGAGTTAAAGACAGAAAACGAAATACACCCCTGCCCCACGCCCCGGGGGCCGGCGAGGGCTGCAGTGCTTTAGTTTTGGGGGAAGAGTCTGTGGGCACCCAGGAGTGTGCATCGCCGGCGACCGCGTCCGTGGCCGGTGCTGCCAGGGTCCCGGCCTGGGCGCCCCGTGCCTGGGTTGCCCTCCGGGGCCAAGGCGCGCTTGCTCCTGCCAGATCCCGCAATCTCTGGCACCCCTGCTTCCTCCAGGCCCCACTCCGCCAGCAGCCTTAGAATGCAAGCTGGGTTCGGCTTGGTGAACTGGGGCAACCGTGCGCGCTGGAATGTGCCCACGCGGTCCCCTGAGTCTGCCACGCAGGAGCCCAGGCGCTCTCGGTTCCAGATGCTGCCACCAGTCTCGGGGCAGTAGGGGAGGTATCAAGTAGCCCGATTTTTTTTTCATCCTAATGAGAGTATTTATCTAATCCCAAATTGCAGGCGAATATTCCTAACGCTCAGCTCATAAAACCCCGGGATTAAGAGAAGAAAAAGAGAAGGGAGAGGGAGGAGAGTAGAGAGACCGAGGGCAAAGTTTCTAGAACGCAGCGCTGAAGGACTGAGACAGCCGTCGCTAGGCAAATGTCCAGGTGGGAAACACTGGGCCCAAAGCGGCGACTGTTCCAGCAACGGTTGCAGGGCAGGGCTGGGCGGGGAAGTGGGGGCAGTGCTGCAGGGGAGACCGCTCCAGCTCAAGGCCTGTGGGACAGCTGGGCCGGGGCAAAGGATCTCGGCCCCGAGACCCGATTCAGCATCCAGGTGACCCCGAGGCCAGAACCGACCCTGGAGTATACTAGGGACAGGGGGAGGGGTTTGGATCCCCAGCCTAGGGCTCCCGGCCGGTGGCGGAAGTTCTGCACGGGCCTGCGGAGTGTGCCCACGCCAACCCGCCGCCAGCGCTCCGGCTTCTCCGCGCCCTCCGGACCCACGCCTTCCGTTCCTACAGCAACGGCCCCTCGGGGTCCCGGTCTCCAGGCGAGCTGGGTCCGGGGCACCCGAGCGGCCAAGTTGCGGACGCGGTGCTCTTACCGCCGGCCTGACCCGTCAGTCCCCAGGGTCCGCGTTCTACCGCCGCTGAGGGGCGTTCGGGCGCCACGGAGCAGCCCAAACGGAGACCACGCCGCTGAAGCAGAAGGGGTAGGGAGAGGGGCCGTTCTGCGGCCCCCAACCACCCCAGCAACCCGGAGGCTAGGGCAGGTTTGTTCCTCGGCCCTCCGGGAGCGGCCCTGGGGCGGGGGAGAGCTGCCTTTCTGCGAGGCCCCTCAGCGGGGAAGGTTCCTCGAAACTAGCGCGAGCGGTGGGTGCGCTGGCGGCCGGCGCCGGGCTGCTGGGCTGCTGGGCCGCGATTTCCGTGGTCTCCCTCGGTTTAGAGCTGGAATCTCAGAGCTTGCCCCAGAGAGCGGCAGCTCGCTCTGCCCTCCTGCCAGAATAAAGAGTGTGAACACTGGATTCCATTTCGTTCTAGTAACTTTTCAGTAACTTAAAATCTTTGTCATGAAGAAATTCTACCATAACAAGTATTTTTTTTTTCTTAAATAGTTTTGAACGACTGGCACTTGGAGACGGCTGCATACTTTTCAAGCAAAGTTTGTGTGTGTGTGATTTAGACTGAGGTGTGAATGCTAGTAGCATTTTCTCTAAGTTTCCGGACTTGTTGAGCGAGCTTTCTTTGTTTGGATACCCCTATTGAGGAGTGAGGAAAAGTAGCTTAGGATCGCCTTTTTCTGCAGCCTCGCACTCCTTCCCTCATCTCACACACACATACCTGCACACACTGGTTCCCCCACCTTTCCCAACAGCACTCTTCCCTTTCACTTCAGGACCCAAACACTCCTCGCCGTTTGTCAGAAGACGCGGCTCTCATAGAACTGCAAAAACTGTAGCAACTCAAAGTAATAATGTAGATAATTCATGAAGATATTAGTGCTTTTTCAAGGGTACGGAATCACAAATCTTTAACAGAGATGGCCCTTTGCAAAAGACATGATAGTTTACATAGCTTAAGAATATGACTAATTGCTTTTCAATTCACATTCGTGTGTCAGCAGGGCCCCTCTGGGATGGTGTAAACTTATTCAGTTCCAAATACAGACTAGTGTCCTGCCCAGCGCTCCTGAGGACCGTTTTTTCAACATGAAAAGTCTTATGGATACATAAATTTCCACTCAAGCCAGTGTCAAGTTTTCATTGCAAGAAAGTAGCAGCAGTGTTTAAGGTAAGAAAGTTTTTGCTTTTATTGAAAATTTATATATGACTCAGAATTGTAATAAATAAACAACCATTTTCACACAAAAATGACAGAACTATGCTAGAGAATGTTAATGGGGTATTGACTCGTAATGGCAAGACAGACCTTTTATCAATACAGAATAAATATTAACAGCATTCTTGGACCAATGTTGAGACCTAACAAAATGTAGGAACCAAGCAAGATATATAATAAATAATTATCCAGAGAAAAAGATGGCGCATTCTGGGATGATAAAACTGACTTTGTAAACGGATGCGTGTCACTGAGTCCCATCCCTCACAGCTCACCTTCAAACTGTGGAGCTCGTCTCCGCTGCCGGAAAGGGCCATCCTCTGAGGAGAGCAGAGGAAGGGAGCTCTAGAGCCTGACAGTGGAATGCGAAACAACTGCAGACAACCCCACTGGTAAATAGAACACAGTTTAATAAGTAGATTGAATATGATCTAACTATAAAATTTAGGTAACAGTAAGTGTTACATATGGCAGGACGGGGGAAAAAAATCATGACATTTTTCTTACCTCCCTGTTACCCCCTCCCCCCCACTGTTATTATGCTATTACCACCAACGACAACAACAACGTTTCAGATTTTTCCTCCCACCAAGAAACGAAAGAAAATGAATTTTTAAAAAGTTTCTTAAACACTCTCAATGCCAATCACTCACAAGTTGTCTGTGCAAATCTATTTCACATGATTTCAAGGAAATGATTGACTCACACAACACACAAAAAATTTCTTTAAACAAAGCTATTTTGGAGTTCTCTATATTATCTGGAAGGGAGGGTTGAAAAGGGGTGATGGTAGTAAAGTAAATCCAGCCAAACAAAGAGTTGAAAGTTTTAGATCAACAAGGAGTCTGTCTTTTTCTGGTCTGGGATCCAAGATTCTATAATGTTGGGAGACATTCTGGTCTGACATCTACTGAAGAACACATTTTTCCTCTTTCTTGGCCATCTTGCCTTTGTTTTGCTCCAGAGTTCGCTCCAAATGCTCATCTTCTTCTTCGGCCCTGGATGTCAAACAGGAAACAAAATTATTTTTCTTCCTGGAGGGCAGAGCACTGCTCCCCACCCCACCCCCATCTGCCCAAATTTGAATTCCCAGTGGGTGGGGTACACTGGGCCAGGTAAAAGGCTGCCCCACGCCTCCTGATACCTCTGGAATGAACTTTTCACAAACTTCTGGGCCCCTCGGCAGGAGGATGAGCCTGGACCAGGACCCCACAAACTACTCACTGCTTCTCCTGTGCGTCCAGGTCCCTAACAAGCGCATCGCGCTTATCCACCAGAGCCACCAACTCATCCAGCAGGAGCTGCTCGCGTCGCTTCTGGGCCTCAGTCTTCTGCCAGTCTGTAGGGGACGGTAGGCTAGTTACTGGCATGGCCTCCGCGTACACAGCCCGCACCCCCTCCCTCCCGCCTTTTCCAGTTTCCTTACATTTCTAGGCAAACAATGTTACAGAGCCACTAGCTAGTGATTTCTAAGGAGCTGGTCCGGTGGGGCTGAGGGTTTCAGCCCTAATTATGCCTCACCACTTCCTACAGATGGAGGGTGGCTGCTGCAAGATTAGAACCTGTTAGAGACCAGGTGTGAGTCCACAGCCAGCACGAGGTGTGCACCTGAACCTAGCCAGAGTGGGGGAGGGGTACTGGAGGCCACGGAGTTTGGCCAAGGGGTATGCAGTGGGGGGAAGTGGGTAAAGGAGGAGGCGGGAAACAGAGATGGGCGATAAAATCATTCTGAAAAGGCTAGAGGATCAGCCCGAGAGCCTATCTTCCCCCACCCCCACTCTCACCCCAAACAGCCATTCTTCGCTAATTTCCTCTTCGCTCAATTTTAGCAGTTGGATGTATCTCACACTGGGCGCCATATGCTTCACAATAACTTTAAAAGTAGTGAATCGGCTAATTAGCATTTTTCTTTGAAGTAAAAAATAAATTTGCTCTGCAATATTACACTGCAGCTCTCGATCTCATCACAGCCAGTTTTCTTTTGGAGACGTTTGCTGGGTGGTTTAAAAATCAAAGCACTTTTGCAAGGAAAAATTACATATATCTCTTTGAAATCGATGCTAAAGATTGGAAAATCCGATGGGCAGTGCTTTTCCATGGGTGGGACCATCCCCCACCCTCTCTCTTTTTTTAAAGTTTTTGCCCTCAATAATATCTTTCCTAATATTTTATGGTCTGATAATTTCCTTAAGATGAGCAGCAGTTTCATTTAATAAAAACAGGACCAAATCGAACATTTTAAGCACTTTTGAAACCAAAGCCAATTGCTCTTTGGCCAGACTGTAAGGGCTTGTAGCTGTCAGTCAACCCCCAGTCTACCCCGCCTCCCTCATTAGGAAGGTAAACAATGAAAAGAAGAAGTAGATGATGAGGCAGATAGCAGAACAAATGAGGACCTAGAGGGAAACAGGACACCAGCTTTAAAAAAAAAAAAATGGCCACTGACTCCTGCAAACCCCCTCCCCCAGCAAATGCACTTTCCCAAAACAGAGAGGAGTGCAATCCTTTCGGGTTTCTCTCTTCTCTCTCCATTGCCCAGGGCAATCATGTTAAAACTCACATGGCTGGTGCTTATTCAGATAAACCTAACAATGCACACCGCTGGTTACCATGTGAATCTTCACAAACCACACAAGAATGTGCTGGTTCAAATCCCCCGACCCCCGCCAAAGCAAAATTTATTCAAGACAGCAAACTGCTCAGCAGCTTTATGAAAGCAAATGGTGCTAGAGGGAATTCTAGCTTGTATTTACAAATTAAAAATTAGATGCATCATCATGCAATACAGGTTAGAATAACCACAAAAAACTAAAGTTTACCCAGTTTATCATTATCCCTTTCATTATAAGCTCAACACAAACATACATATGAGAAACATGCCATGTGTTAATTATCCATATTCAATACAAAATATTCTACAAATAAATACAATAACCAATCGCTGTTACATCCTTATTTTTAAGTGAAGTATACACATGGAAAGTAATAAATAAACTTATTATGGAACAGTTTTTTCTGCATATATAAATTTTAAAAATAATAAACAGCAGAACTGGAGAAATATCTATCAAAATTTTATTATTTTAAGTGCAATTAAGGAGAGGAATGCTGGAGCATTTTCTAACTTTGTTCTTAAATCAGGTATATTTTCTGTAGCAGATACATTAATGGACTACCTATGTTGCAAAGATATTAAAAGTCATCTTGTCTGATTTCAGGCAACACTGATCTAAAAACATTGATTCAGAAAAACATGTGCATTTTATAATTATATTTTATGATTAACAGTTGGGATGAATTTTGCTTCCAACCTCAAGGAAACATTCTGATCAAAAGCTTTGATTCAATTCTTCACTTCTCAAATATTTTTTGCTTTGTTTTTTAATTTACAAACCCATTTATTCAAATAGTTTTGGGTATGGACTACAGTTACCTTCTAGGGCTGTATTATGGAAATCTGTAATCTTACATGACCTTTCTTTCCCTGGTTGACCGACAGTGTTCCTCACATTATTTATAAACTTCTCAAGCTTTCTGATTAAAGTTTTACACTGGAAAGTAATTTTTAATACACAATATACAAAACTATAATTAAACTAATTTTTAAACTTAGAGCAAGAAAAATAAATTCTAACAGGCAATTTTCCTAATTAAATTTTTCCTTCTTTCAACTTGCTCACTCATTTTGAGAATTTTAATTAATAATTTAAAAATATCCGGACTTATAAAATTTAGGATCTTAATAACATGGGAAAAAGGAAATTACCTTGTTTTTAGCTCCTAAAATATACTGAATAATTTTTAAAAATTTTAACTTTTTTCATAGCTCAATGATGACATTTCTTATAACTGTAATAAAAACATTTTAACATTAAGAACATTGAGGTAATTTTCATCATTTCAGAAGCTAATTTAATTAACATCAGATTTTAAAATATTCATAAATTTTAAAGATTTTTGACTAATATGATTATTTGCTTACAAATTACTAACCAACTGATGAAGAATATTTATGTATAGCATGTAGGAAAAGTATTTTGTATTTGCTTTTTCACTATTGGGAATAAATAAACTATGTATAAATTTACACAAATACATACAACTACATATACAGACATATTATATTTGAATGCTAACATGAGAATGTATTTGGCTTGTACATTTTAATGTTACATTTGACAAAGACCTACATTTGGAGGTTCAAGGTTGAATTTTTTAAAAATTCCCATTTAAATAGCTTCATGTAAGTTTACATGCTACCTGTTACACATTTTAAGAAAGGATTACCCACCTAGAACACAAGTCACAGCTAGCTAGCTGTACTGACTTCAGCTTGAATAGACTACAATGTGGGTTCTGATTAATGTAAAGATGCCAGTGTACTTTTGCTACAAAAGCCATATCCTCTTGCAACAAATAGGATTAAGTTTTGATGCTGCATTTGAGCCAAAGTACTGAAATAAAGAGATTCTGCCTATGTCCATCTACACTGAGCAGATGTTAATTAAAAAAAAAAGTGTGTGTGTGTGTGTGTGTGTAGTCACTCATTCCCTGATTTGCTTTTTTTTTTTTCAATTGATAATAACCTTGAAAAATGTAAGAGAAATACCTATAAACACTTTAACAGAAAGGACATAAAGTCTTGTGGTAAACCTTCAACCTTGCCATTATAAATAAGCTTGGCACTTTGATGAAAATTAACACTAGTTTTCTAAAGAGCACATTGGGGGATTGCAGTCAAGTCTTATCTTTAGTTCCAGTCAACTAGCAATCCTGAAAGAGTTTGCATCATCATCAGAACAGGCCATTTGATAGGATTCTACTGCTGTACCTAATCAATCTATGGAAGACTGTGGCTGTGCTGTGTAACAAAGCTAAAATAGATTTACAAATGGGGTTTTAGGGGATAAGCTCCTCCACAGGATTACATATTGATTTTAAATATAAAAAGCTTATCATATAAACCATAACTACAAAAATAGTGAACCTATGCATAAATCCCTTTAGAAGAGCACCCACTTCAAACTCTAAGCCAAGAATAAATCAAGATGTACAAAATCCTAGAGAAGATCCATTTCTCGTGCAGAAAATGAACATACCACTTTCTAAAAGCCCACCCCAATGTGTTCAGAAATGAATTTATCTTTCCTGAGGGGGCATTAAATAATCTGGAACAAAAAAACTATAGGAGAAGTATCTAAAAGATGTTTGTTAGCTTTAGGGATTCTATAACTTAGCTCAGTGGAGGGAAACTCCTGCTATGAAAAACACCTCAGGAAAAAAAGGGGGTAAAAAATAGGCCTAAGTGATTATGGATTCTCAGAAGAATGGATGTACTGATTTTTTGTCAATATTTTTAATATTAGTTGTTAATATTTTAATGTGCTATGGCTATCAATATTTTGTCTTTTTCTCCTGCAGAATGGTTTCAGCAGATTTGTTTGGAAAGAGTTTACTTCTGTTAAAATCATAGCTACTAAAGGAGAGGAATGAACTTTAAAACAAAAGCAAAATAAAACAAACCAAGTGTTACTTATTCATGTGATTTTCTGGTGGTGTTTGAACACTCAAAAAGGCTACTGAACTGCATCTGTGTTCATTCTCTGGACTGGGGCAGAAGACACTGTCTTCACTGAGCAGATCTCCACAAGGATCAGCACCTTGGGCGGTGGGCCCAGCCCATTCACTGTGGAGGTGAGTGTAACAGGCCCACTCTTTAAGAAAGTATTTGTAACCAACAGGCTGCTCCTTTCCTCAAGGCTCCTTTTCCCTCAATCAGCAATGGAAACTGGATAAGGGATTTTAGGCACAGACACAAATGAGACAATATAATTAAAAATAAGATGATAAATTGAGAAACTAGAAATTAATTTTATTTTATAATAAAACATAATTTTTCTCCCTTCTTGGAAAATATGACTCTGTCCTGTTCCTCTGTATGTATAAGAAAAGCAGGCAGATAAAATGTTAAATTGTTTTAAGACTGAAGGTATGAGAAATAGGAATAGCGTTACTGATGAAAGTGGAATCTTTCATAAGTGTCACAGCGCCCTTTCTAAGATGAATATTTGATGACAGTGGTTTGGGGGAAGAACCAAAATGTTCCTTAAAAGTCAACCACTCTGTATGGAACAGTATTTTTAGGAAAAAATTAAATATCTATACATGAGAGGAAGGGTAAGAAAAATATTAAATATATTGAGTATAATGCATAATTAATCTGAAAAGAATAAGTTATACTTATGTTATACATAGTATATGCATATATGCCTACTACATATATGTTTATGAAACTTTTGAAAGTTTGTAAAAATTATATTTAAATCCTATTTTTCATGAACATTTTTAAGACCCTTCTGTATATTACACATACATAATATCTCACATATAGTATTTTCTATATCCACTTTTCAACTAGCTGGTTTTCCAATCTTGTTAAAGACTATGGCGTGACTACACAAATTATACTAGAAGAAATAAGAAACTCTTAAGAATACTTATGCATTTTATTTCAATGACAAATGTCACAGAACTTCTTAAATAATTTTGAAAAATCTCAGTCATTACTGACAATATAATCTGATACATTTGAATGGCCACTTGAAGGAAATTAGCTAACTGAAGCCTTTTAAAATAATCACATTCCTAAATGATATATAAATATTGTCAATGCTACTTATCAAGTGAGATTATGGATACAAACATAATTAAAAATTAAAGCTTCTATAAACATAAAAGATAATATATAGAAAAGTAGTATACATTTTATAATATTTATTAAAATATTTTAAGGATATGAGCTTTTACTTGATCTTCCTTTACAAACTTAAACTTCTAGTTTCTGAACTAATTAGAATTGACTTATGGACCAGGTACCTTATCAGGTGAAGAACAAAATTACCATGGACAGTCAATGGGTTGAGAGGTCAATACAGAAAAGGAAAATCAATTTGCATTGATCAGACAAAAGATCTATTTTATACAGCCAAAAGGATTAGCTTTTAAGCAGAAATCTTTGGACAGTTTCAACCAAGAGATATAAGGACAACAGCATGATAAAACACCAAAGAATTAAAAAGAAAAAATTGAAATGTTACACAAAATTTAGTTGATGTTTACTGGTACTGTTAACCTTGCAAAGGATTACTATATAACTAATGTAAATGCTTTGCAAAAAAAAATTCAAGTGTTTAATTTTTTACACCAGTTTTTTCCTGAATATGCACTTAGCAGGAGCTGGAAGAACTACAGTAGAATGAATGCACAGTAACCAGTGACTATTTCAACGTGGATATCAATTCAATGTTATGGTCAAATTTAGAATGTGAAGGTGAAAAATGAAAATGACACATCTTTTCCAAGATTCCCTAAAGGAAATAGCATCATATAACGCACTAGTAAAACTCGACTAAATCAAGGTGCACCTTATATTTTCTATTTCATAGGAATTTAAGCTTACTGAATCAGAAGACAATTTTGAGCTTAAGAACAAACATAATGATTATCTAACTGAACTGGAGTCCTTGGGTTTCAATGGATATTGCTTTCTGTCTGTAAGGTATTTATTTGCAGTTCCTGTAAGTCTCTACCACAGCAGACCTGGTAAAAGCAGATGTGTATTCCCGTCTCTAAATCTCTGATAACTGACACCTCACAAGCAAGCCTCACCCCACCACAGCATTTCTTACCTTCAATGGCTAGCATTGCCCGCAATTCCCGGTTCAGCAGCTCATACCGTCTTTCTAAATCATGTTCTTTTTCCCTAGGCAAGTTGCAAAAGTTCATCAATATGCTAATTACTAAATCATTAAACACTCATAAGAACCTTTAGGTTACATTGATTTTAAGACTGTAACTGACTTTTCTCCTTTAACTTTAAGCCACTCCAAACAAATGATACACAAACCGAAAACCTTCTTCAGACGAATACTTCCTAGTGCTATTATTTACCCCCTTGGATTTTGAATGGCACAGAGGTACATTTTAATCTGAGGATAAGTAGTCTCATTCTTCAGCGCTCCTTGTATTAAGTGCTAGGTGTAAGGCTATTTTCAAAACTACTTTTCATTGCTCATAATAAACCACTTTAATTTAAACTCCATACGAAAATATAAGAAACATGAAACTGCCACCAGTGTAAGTTTACCATGTAGATAATTAAAGATCAAGAATTAGTTTTTTCCTCAAAGATAACTCCTGTTTTCAAATTCAGGCATGGCAGAAATTGTAACATTTGGGTTTTCACTTAAAAAAAAAGAAGTAAACCTGCTCATTCCCACACTAGGCGGCATGCTGTAAGAACACTGCTGGTAAGCAGAAAGGAGTATTAAATCCTGGAATGTACTAAAGCTAAAGCTAATGAATGTTTACATCTGATCTAGTCTTAATTTTACTGTAATTCTTGCAATCACAAAAAAGTCGCTTCTGTCTAACTGGAAGTTTATCCCAAATTTTAGGTTACTATTACCTGTAGATTAGAAATATAGTTTTGGCCTTAAAAGTTAATTTTTTAGTTTAGAATTTTTGTTCAATAAGCTTTAGTTTTATTTCTCTCCTGTTCAAACCCTCTATGAAAACCACTTTTCTTTTTGTGTACAGTTTATTAAACACAAAGACTATTTCTATTCCTTGACCTTTTGTATAGTCATTTTTTTCTTTCAATGTCTGTAACTCTACTTAAAGATTCTTACTGTTCAAATAAAAATATTTCATACTAATTTAAACTTTCATTCAGAACATACTATAATCTTTCTCAGGAAAGAAAAAAAATTCAAACCTAATAAATATGAAACCCCAAAGCATCCAAAAACAAAGGCACAAGACTTATCAGTGTAGGAAAAATCAGTACAGTTAAGAGTACTTACAGAAGGGAAAGCTGGTTCATTCTCCTGATTAAGGCATTTTTCTTATTAACCAACATAAACCACTCCTGCATCATGGCTTCTTCTTCTTCTGTGTTCCTTCCTGTAATTCAGGAAAACGTAATTCTCATTATATGACACTTAATAAGTCAAACAACAGTTCAGCACATCTCTTTTTAACGTGACACAATATGTTTTCTATTAGACTCACATATCTAATCTCATATAGAAGCTTCTGAAAAATGGAATTAAAAAGATAAGCTTACATTGCCACAAAACTCTTTTTGAAAACACATATGCAAGAGGATTTTCAGAAAGCTATGGAAAACATGTATTATGAAGAAACTAATTTCAAAATGTTTTGTACCAAGATTTATCATTTAAGTCTACTTCCTCACAAACTCTTGGAAGTATTCTTATATTAACTTGCTCATAATAATACAATATTAGAATGTAAGACCTGAAAAAAAAATCAAACACTGGTATTATTCAGCATGTATATTTTTGTCCCCCTGAACATACCTATATTAACACCAAGTACAGTAAACAAAATGTTCTACCTTTTAAATCCTCCCCAGAGGCTGACTTGGTATTAAGTTTCAATGAGGAACTCATGGGGCTGACAGACATATAGCCATGGTTTTTTAAAAAAAGGGAGGAGGAACATTAAAAAAAATCATTAAGAGATTTATGAATAGCAAGGAAGATCAGAAAAATCCAGAGACTGTGAAAGCTTCCACTTGCAATAACTTGCTTTTTTCCCCCCTTAACTTTTGTTCCTAAAAATAAACTACAGATGTATCTGCATAGAACATTTTGAAACTCATCATCTTTAATAGCCTAAACCTCTTGCAAGTCATTAAACACCTTGTAAATGACTGGGGTACCAAAGAAGACCTACAGTTCTCTGTGAGAAAAAACACACTTCAATGAATGTAACATTCAGATGATGTTTGAACAGAGACAATCTATCATTTTAGACTGTAAAGTTACTGACTGTATATGAGAAATATTTAAGATCCACTATCCCTAACACTCCATTATTTATATAACCTGCCATCCTCCAAAAATGCTAAATATGTAATTAGTATTGTTCATAAAAGTAGACCACAATTATACTCACGAAAGATACAAATTTCCCCTCCTCTATTTTAAAATTATACAAATAGTCACATTTACATTTGATTTTTCTCCTTGAATTTTACCTTTGATTGGTTTATTGCTCTGCCAAGCCATTATTTAATATTCTGGTTCAACTTCTCTGTGAAGCATTCATGAGGTTAAATATGCATTCTCTGAAAATCAAGTACCTAGTTTTAGAGCATCATGCCTTAACTTTGATTTCCTTTTAAAGCAATATATTACCTTTAAAATTTCAAATTAACAGTCCATTAACAAAATGCAAATATAGGGATATGCACCCCTACTGTTAAATAAAAGGAGGACTGCCAATGAAATTGTTAAATATATCTTGACAATATGATACTAGATTTTCCATCATTGCCATTACCTACAATGCCATGGAACACTGAAACAGCAGGTTGTTGGACTTGTGACTGTTGCTGAAGGACTGTATCATTACAATACTATGGAGGGGAAAGACTAAAGCATGGGGGGAGAAAAGGAGGTGCAGAGGGAAATATCTATGCCCACAAAACCATTTCATGGAAAATAATAGCAATAAAAACAAGATACAAATGAGTAAAAAGTCAAATCCTTTAACTAACCCACTTTCCCTTCTTTGGAAAGGGAATACTATTATAGTTTATATATTATTATACTTTATTATGATCTCCTTCCAAACTGAACTGAATTACACATTGACCTGTGACTTGTTTGTCACACTGGCCAGTCATCTCTTATTCTTTTTTCATGCTTCCAATAAATTACTGATTATCATAATTCAGCTGCTTTCACAATAATATAAAGAGACATTTAGAATAAAAGTATCCAAAATGTTGATTATGTGGAAGAGATTAAACACACATTTCAGAGCAACCCTATAAAATAGATCTGTCGTTCATCAGAGGGAGCACAGTGAGGATATATGCCTTCATTAAATGCTGTTAAAACTTAATGGTATGAAGCAGACTTCGAGGAGATTCTTTTAGAGTCTGAACAAAAGTCTTTATTGTTTTACAGTATTTTTAATCTCTCCTTTAGGGTAGCTGGTTTTGTATTCATTTTGGACCATGTGATGTCTTGACACTGGTCATGTGATACAGGCTGCGATAGGCACAAATCCCTGAGTAGTAACAAAAGAAGAAAGAGTAAAAAGAAAAAGCTGAGAAAAAGCTTGCAATTTGGAAAAAGGCCAATTGTACCCTGGTGAAGGCCTTTTTGATCAGCAAAATGACACATGTGTGCAATATTAATAGGTGTAGAATTTATGGTATTTTATTTCTGATTAAAGATTTAATTCTTGCATTCATAGCTTAAGTGGATTCCAGGAACATAAATGTTTGAAACTTTGTTTTGAGTTTAACTTAACCTATAATTTGAGGCTTTCAAGGCAATACTAGAAGCAACCAGCCTACTCTTAAATTAGCATCATTTTCTTCAATGGAAGACTGCCTCCCTGAGAATTGCAATATTGATATGGTACTAATTTTCAGTTTAATTCATGCTTATGATTTTTAGGTAAAAATAAAATCTCCCCCTCTTAATTTTAAAGAAATGATTAACAATAAAAGAGTTTCATGTTTCAAAAGAAAACAGGCCTAACAATAAATATTTAAATGCACACATTACCACATAGATTATTTAAATTAACTGAAAAAATGTAAATCAATTCTGTATCACTAATTCCTTATCTGAGATAGTATACAGTGACAGAAATTTATACTTAGCTTAGTAATAAAAAATTTCTTAAAACACATTTTTAAACCATTGTTTTTAAGGATTTAAACTTTTTTTTTTTAATTTAAAAAGCGTTTAAAAGCCAGTAAGTTGAACCATTACAAATTAATCCTGACTTTAATAACTGGTTAAAGACCCCTTTAGCTTTATAAGTAACAGAAAATATTAAAGCCTGTGATCACAGTGAGCTTTTCTCATTTCTCCTCTAACCATTTGTTATTTAATCCAATACTAGTAATCCAATTTGTCCATCAGACTTTTAAAGGGCAGAATGCAACTTCCTCAGCTTAGACACTTTTCAAAGTACAATATATTTTTCAAATGAATGCTGGATGTTTCATTTTTCCCAACTGTTCCTAGCTCTAATGCATGAGGAAAAAAAGAACAAGATGAACATTGTTCATACTGATTAAGTAAGAGCTCATTAAAGAGCTGTCAGTGCGGTACTTTGAATATGCATGAAGCATATAATCAGATCTAGTACCGTCACTAGAGGAGAATACGGTAAGTACAAAGGATTGATTTAATTACTTAGAGTGGGCTGTGGTGGTAAAGCAGTCTTGTTAGTGCAAAAAGAAAAAGAGGCTGTATTCTGGCACTGCTAGAAAAAAAGGCAGTTTTAGCTTCTGCCACAATACTAATCTCAGAATAAAGCACTTTACATTGTAGCTTAAAATGAAGACTGTCATTATATTATAAAATAACCATAAATCATTTAATCTTGTTTAACTTCACCTGGTTAACTATCTCTTTTTCAAAATTACCTTTGATTTATAATCACAGCCACATTTTTAATTAATTACCTTAGACCCAATACTGAAACTTTAAAAAATCCTATTTTTTCAATTTTATGACCCCCCCAAAATTTAAAAATACTATTGAAAGCCAGTTTGAAATTAGAAAATGTATTAGAACTATATACAGTTTAGTATATAGTTTTAAAATGTAGGAGTACAGCTGGGTTGTTACACTGCATTTTGAAACAGTACTTCATGTTTACTTTAAATATATTATCAATGAAAACATAAAAGTTAAGTACTTTTCACCTTCACATAAATATAATTTCTGATATTAATTTTTTAAGTTTGTTTTCTTATAGATTTCTGTTTTTTGTCTCCAGGAACGTAGTATTTCTTTTTTCTAACATCACAGTTTCCCAATGCCGCATCAAAAGCGTGCCCTGTTTTTTTTTTTTCCTTCAATAAATGATTGCAAGGACTGGTTTTGTGGCGCAGTGGATAGGGCCTGAGACACCAGCATAACAACTGAGCACCAGTTTTTGTGTCAAGGCCTCCGGAGACCGCTTCCTATCCAGCTCCCTGCTAATGCTCCTGGAAAAGCAGCAGAAGATGGCTCAAGAAACTGGGCCCCTGACATTCACACGGGTAATTCACACAGAGTTAGAATCTCTTATTTTTAGATTGACCCATTCCCAGGCCTTTGCAGCAATCTAGGTAGTAAACTAGTAGATGGAAGATGGCTGTCTCTCTCTGATTCACCCTTTCTATAAATCTGACTTTATAAATAATTAAATAATAAATCTTAAAAGCAAACAAACAAACCAAAACAGAAACAGTAACTCTAAAGTCAGTGTTACAGAACTCCTTTGCGCCAGCTGTACAAAGTATGTAAGCTTAGTGAATACAGTTGTATTTTAAAATAAATTTTATTATGAAACCAAATGTTTCTTTTCCAAGAATATTTTGAAAAGATTTTCACTATCTTTACTGATGATTTCAGCAGCAACTGTCTTAAAGCTATTTTCTTAGCATGATATATTTATTATACTATGAATAAAACAAACACTAAGGGAATTCCTTCCTCCTTTTATTGCAATAAAACAAAAACCAATACACTAACTCAAAAGTACCACATTTGGGGCAGATGTTTAGCCTAACAGCGATGCAGTAGCCTAGATGGGAGTTTTTGGGTTTGATACTCAGTGCTGGCTACCGACTCCAGCCTCCTGTTAATGTAGATCATGGGAAGCAGAGGTGATGGTTTAAGTAATTGAGTTCTAGCTACACACATGGGGAGGCCCAACCCTGGCTGTTGCAGATATTTGGGAAGTGAATAAGCAGAGGGTATCTCCTTCTCTAATTCTGTCTCTCAAATAAATATTTAAAATAATAGATTTAGATTTATTTATTTATTTGCTAAAACAGAATGTGTGGAGAGATTGAGGGTAGCATCCCTCAGTAGATACAAAAGGTCTTCAAAAAATATGAAAAAACTATGAATTGA